CGAACCTTGTTGGATGAGCAGTTGCTTCTTTGGGATGAGCAAAGAGAGGGGTTTCTTGAGATGGAACCTACTCCTGGAGAGAATGCCGTGGAACATTGTTGAAATGACAACAAAAAATTTAGAATATTCCATAAACGTGGTTGATAGGGTAGTGGGTTGAGAGGATTGACTCTAACTTTGAAAGTTCTACTGTGGACAAAATGCAGTCGAGTAGCATCGCATGCTACGGAGAGCTGTTGCGTGGAAGGAAGACTCAATCGATGCAGGGACTTGGTTGCTGTCTTATTTTAATAACTTCCAGCCAGCCCAGCCTCCAGCAACCGCCCTGACCACCAAGGCCATCAGTGTCCAGACAGGACCCTCTGCCAGCAAAGAGGGTGACTCGCTGAGGGCTCAGATAATTGTGAGCCTTTTTTAGCAATAAAATATTTTAACTAAGGTACGTGCGTTGTTTTTTAGACATGATACTATTGCACACTTAAGGAGCACAGTATAGTGTAAACATGACTGTTTCATACGCTGGACACCTAGAAATCTTGTGACTTTCTTGGCCTTGAGACTTGCTCCGCCGTGGGGGTCTGGGACCGGCGGTGCCTCTGCGTTGGGCCTGCGTGTCTCAGTCAGACAGAAGGACACACCGTTACCGGAAGACCGGATTTTTCAAAGTTTCTAATTCAATAGACACTGAAAAAGGCAGTAAGCAGACACAATTTCACTCCTTAAAAACTAAAAACCAAATGAGCAAAAGCAGCGTTGGCCACAGATGCCAGGGTCACCTGCAGGGTGTGGCAGGCCCTGCCCGGGGTCCGTCCGGATCCAAAGCCAGCGTGGTGCCTCGGGGACCCAGCCCTGCCCCCGGGCCGAGTCGGGGAGGCCTGTGGTCATCGCCACCACCGGGGACTTGTCAGAAGTGCCGGCAACGCAGTCGCGTCCATGTTTGATGTAAGCATGGCCGCTAGTGCAGGCGAGGTGAACAGGTGCTTCAGAAACTCTGGAGAATCACTGAAATAACTTGAAAACTAATAAGGGTTTATTAAATTGAGCCAATTACAAATATAGATGCTTCTTTACTTGTATTCAGCTTAAAGTTTCCATAGATGCCAACACTCTGGGGTGTGGATTAGAGTTCTGGAAGCTCCGGCCCGCAGGCCAAGTCCGGCCCACCCTGCCTTCGCAGAGAGGGTGCGTGGACACGGCCTTGCGCGTCCGTTCGTGCCCTGGCCCCCGACGCGTCGGCGCCACGGTGGCGGGGTCGGGCCGTTGCTGGAGAGAACGCATGGCCCCCAAAGCTGAGAACCCATGCTGTCCGGCTCCTTGCAGCGCAGGCGTCTGCCGGTGGCCCTCAGGGAGACACTTGCTACATACACACACAGGAACTACGGTAGACAGCAAATACGTTTACGAAAATAGCACACAAAATAACTTGAATAACCTTAGTGAGAAATGGTTGGCACAAAGCCTTTACCGTGAGAAACTTTATTAAAAAGACTTGGACAAATAAAAAGATGCCATAGAATGTGGAGAAGGGGAGTGAAGAGCTAGTGTGGTGAGATTATTCCTCCACAAATTAATTTTTAGATTTAATAACATTTCAATTCAATTTCCAATGAACTTTTGGAACTTTCCAAAATTGTTTACATTTTACAGTTTACAGTTTATCTCGGGGTGTAGTTCGGTTTCAGGTGTCGGAAGGACTTTGTAGCTACCGCGGGTGCCTGGCCCTGCAGGCGAAGCAGGTGTGTGCACAGCAGTCGAGGCCGGGCGGGTTGGCGCGCGGGTTGGGAACGGCCCCTCTGGGTTTGGGGCTACCTGCCCATCCGGAGCTTCGGTCCCGCCATGTCTCCCTCTCGTGAGTTAACACGAGGACAGTGTTTGACAAAGTCCAGGCATGTAATTAAAAGCTGGAAAAATGTTAGCTCTTGTTTTCTGACCTGTGGAAAACACCAGGTGGCCCTGAAATGACCCAAGGTTCACGAGCATTGAATGCAAGATGCAGTGGGCATTTCAAACCGGGGAGGAAGGGCCGGGGCCCCAGCAGCAGGGGCTGGGAAGGTTGGCTTTGCATTTGGGAAAAAATTCAAGTTGGCTCCTTACCTCACACCACGTTCCAAATGAAATTCCCTGGGATCATAAACCGTAACCAACGCAGCTCCGGGACGACTGGGAGCGTGCAGGTGAGTGAGCTGGGCGAGAGGGAGACTGCTGGTGGCACACGCGGCCTGAGAGGTCAGGACGAGTAGCAGACGCTCATCTGACACCATGTGCCTGGGCCCTTAAGTGATTGTTCATTCTGACAGCCACCCCATGGGCTGAGGGCTGCTATTATCCCCATTTCACAGATGAGGAAACCGAGGCAGAGAGATGCCAAGTACCGTGCTTCAGAGCATTTGAAGAGAGCCCCGGGCAGGACAGGGTGGAGGCCTGATGGAGAGGGAGGCGAGACCAGGGAGTGGGGCACATGGCACGTGGCGGCAGGACATCAGCTGCTGGCCAGTGGGCACCTGCAGCCCAGGGGCCCCGTCCTGGGCTCCAGCTGCACCAGTGGGAAGGGGGGACCCCTTGGAGGTGCAGGCCCTGGTCAGACAGCCCCCCACAGTAGGATCTTAGTGGGGCACACGCAGGTTGGCTCAAGCTTCAGGCCAGGTGGCCGACGAGGTCCCACCAGCGCCGGAGGTCCCAGGACTCTCAGTCGGCTCTGTCATGAGGTGGGAGCCGGGGTCTGACCGCGTCGCACCTGCTACGCTCAAGCTCAGCCTCCCCGTCCCCAGGTGCAGGGAGCAGCCCGCCGAGGAGCCAGAAAGGGGGCCCAGGTGTCTCCCGGGCCTGAGGCTGTCCTTAGGTCACTGTGCTCCAACAGCAGCCAGGGTGTCCGGACACCCTGCCCAGGCTTGGGTTTGAGGGACGCCCGCCTTTAACCCTGCTGGGCGAGGACCTCCAGCAAGGGCTGCGCGGGAACATCAGAGCTGCGTGTTCCCTGCTGCCCTGTGCCTTAGTCTCGAGATTCCTGCACTGAAGATACTTCTCCGGGGCCCCCGCTGGTCTCCAGGCCCCGTGACTGGGGAAGCCGAGGTGTGTGCTGGGGACAGGCCCACGCGTGGCCAGCAGTGGCAGGGCCTGGGATTGTCACGCCAGGCGGGCAGAGGCAGGGCTGCCCCCCTGCTCTGGGCGAAGTGTGGTCTCACTGCAGATGTTCTGGATTCTTGGATTATGCAAAGCCTGGTTGATGATTAAAACACCTGTGCAGTTTGGAAGCGCCGGAGGCAAGTGGCAG